CGGAGATAATTTATCTCTATTGCCTGGAGAAATCCTTTACCCATATATATATAGAGAGAGAGAGAGAAATATTTCTCAAGCAACTTGAGATATATATATCTTCGTCCACTCCAAAATTACGTTGATTATTTATTTCCTTATATTAATTGATTTACCTTTGAATGGTTCTGATTTTTTTTTCTCTCTTCCTTTATCACCATTGATCCATCTTTGTACGGTTGTAATTTAATAGTCGGAAATAAAGTTATCTCAAACAACTTAAGAAACGATAAACCCAGATATATATATAGGCTTTAATGTTTCTACGGGAAATGTAGACAAGTTATCTACATTCACTCCCAAAACGACGTCAGTTTGTGTTGAAAAATTAAAAAATTATAATAAAAAATACTATTATAACCCTGAAATAAATTATAATTACAAAAATATATTGATTTTCGCCTCAAAACGACGTCGTTTTGGACTCAATATAGATAAGTTATCTACATTGACTGTAGAAAAAGCGAACTCATATATATACACTAAAACATTTTGATATACGTTTACCAAAAAAAAAACATTTTGATATACACAAACTATTATCACATTATATATACTAAAAATGTCTATTTCACTTGAAATAATACAAAGTTATTTCATTTAAAATTATGAATGCTTTTCCCTTTAAAAATTCACATGGTAATCAAAATTAAATCAAGAGTTTAAAAACTATTTTTATAGTTTTAAAATATTTTATATTGAAGATAAAAAAAATATTTGTCATTTTAAATGACATAACTTTATATCACTTTAAGTAAAATTAATGTGTTTTTTTGTATGTTTTTAGCTTCTCTCTCCTACACAATACTCTATTTTTCTCTCTCATCTTGTTTTTGTGGACGAGAGAGAAGGTAAACATATACCAAAGGTCCAAAACACATTATTTTCATTTAAAACGATACAAAATTATATCATTTAAAATAACAAACACTTTTCTCTTAAGATAAACATAATGCATTCTTGGGGAGGGGGCTGAACCTTTAGCCATCACTGTTCCCCCGCACTCTGGATTAGTCTCATAGCCGGCTCAAAGAGTCGAAGCTCGTGGGGATACCGGAGGGAGCCAACTCGTCTCAAAGAGATAATTAGGGTTGGGTAACTCCAAAAAAAAAAGATAAACATAATGGCTAAGAAAGCTATTTTATAACCTCAATTATCAAAAAATGTAATTACATTTAATTAAATTAATGTTTATTAACATTTTCAAAATATCATAATGCTTTTTCATTTTATTTTATAAATATACCAACAAAAAAGAGATAAGATTAAAAAAATAGTGCTTTTATTCAGTGTTATTAAAATCGAACCGACCCGGCCAGGTCGACCCGGGAACCGGTAAACCGATCATATAACCGGTCCGGTTCAAGCAACAGACCGGCCATGCATCAGAACCGGTGCGACCTGGTCCGACCCGGCCAGTTTTCATGAAAACCGGTGACCCAGCCCGGTCCCAAACAAAATTTTAATTTTTTTTTTCAAAAAAAAAAAAATCATAATGGACATATTTAAATATATTTTTTGCTTATTGACTTACATAAGTTATGTACCTACAACACTAATATTATCTCAATTATGTACTATGCAGAAAATTTTGATTTTATTTATAGTTAAAGATGTCATTTTCTGAACCTAAAGCCTTGTATCACGATCATTATATTTTTGTTTGATCCTTTATTGTATAACAATATGTGATTTATTATTTTTTATACTAAAATATTTGAGCTTTTTTGTCATTTTTGCTTAGATATTTGAGTATGTTTATAAATTTTAATTAAATTATAAAATTGCATATAATTACCGGATCATGCGGTTGAACTAGTGACCCACTGGTTAAACTAATGACCCAGTGACCCAGTACCTTGACCGAGTCAATGACCGGGCCGGTTTTAATAACATTGCTTTTATTTTCTAAAATAACATTAATTAAAATTGAACAAAAATCTTAGAACAATTAGTATTTTGAAAAAAAATGGGATAGCATGAAGATAATTCCTAAATGTATAAATCTTTAAAATTCGTTTAATATTTATTTAAACTATTATAAAATAAATTTTATCATTACATCTTAAATCTGGTTTTAAATGAACTGAGTTAAAGGTAAGAAATCAAAGCTCACACTTTTTTTATAAGAAATTAAAGCTCAGATTTGGCTTGTAAAAAATATATATTATACTTAAGCTTATTTGTTTGTTTAAATGTGCCAAATCTAAATGTTTTGGTTTGACTTGCTTAAAAATATAAAATTTGAATTCAACTTCTTTAACTCATTAGTAGTTTAATTTTTATCTCTATTAAATATCTTCTTAAATTTTTATTTATTTATTATTTTAGTGTTTAGTTGTCATTCTTATACTGAAAGATAAAGAAAAATAAGAAGATAGTAGAAGACTGTTTAAATCTTGGACTTAAGTAGTAGATAATAATAAATAGAATTATATTTCTCAATATATAGAATTACAATTTCTATATTGAGTGATAATAGTAAATTATTATTATGCATACATATTTTTCTCTAAGTATCTATTTAGTGTGATATAAGATCTGATAGTATAAACTTATACTATATGTTATGATATTTTTAGTTATTTGATGTAACCATCGTATAATATAAACTTATAAAGCCAAATCATTTTATTTTTTTCGGTAAACAAAGCCGAATCATTTAATACATCAAAATAATGTATAACTTAATCAGGTCTGGGGGGTTAAATTAAACTTGATAAAGGGTTGGTGTATTCTTTTTTTTTTTTTGGTGGATGGAAAGGGTTGGTGTATTAACATTGTTGATCAGTGCAATTCTCAAGAATTAATATATTATTTTAATATTAATATGTTAAAATAAAAATTAATTTTCAATATATTAATTTTTAAAATATTAAAGATTTTGATTTTTACAAAAATTAATATATTTTTCGGACAACTGATGAATAGATTTTTACAAAAATTAATATCATATGACATATTTGGAATTATTATATAAATTCTTTATTAAAAGGTATTTTTGTCAAAAATATTTATTTTTATCCTATCGAATATTATTATACAGTGTATTATCAAATACTGAATGATTTATCTTATATAATGTATTATTTTATATAATATTATGTCAAATACTAAATAATATTAAATTTAATCAAATTTTATACAATTAGATATTATACAATTAATTCTTATACTATTAGATCTGATCTTATATTATATATCAAAAATGCCCTCAAATCACAAATCTTTGTCATTTAGTACACACGGTCCCTCGTTATCTAATACGAGTTATTACCGACTCTTAATATCAAGTTTATAAAATTTAAATTTGACTCATTTACCTCATTAAACACACACACTCTGCAACCTCGCTCATCGAAATTAGCAAACCACGCATATTGACATGCAGTCACGTTTGGTGAAGGATAAATTGTTTTTGAGAAAAACTATTCTTATGTTACATAAGATACATTTTCTCTCTTACACACCCTTCGATAACTGTGCCACTTTTTTTTTTCTTTTCTTTTATTTTTCCAGTGGTGGAGCCCACAAATTTATCTCTATGACATGAGATAACTATCTCCTTTAACATGAGATTAATAAAACCCATTGTTTTTACCACAGAAGTATAATTATTAGAAATAGGGTGGGGAAGTAAGTTTGATAGAAAAATTTAAAAAAATTATTTGATAGAATAAAATATTATCGAAAAATTTGATTTTAATTTGTTAAGTTTATATTTGGTTAAAAATAAAATATAGATAAATAAATATGGTTAAATTACCACAACAACCCTTAAGTAAAATAAAATGGAAAAATATAATTTTAGTTTGCTGAATAATTTTTTCCAACATTAGAGTCATTTTGGTCTTATTTGAATTTTCACAACAACCCTTTTTGAATTTCCTCGACAGTCAGCAAGTACTACATTATAGGTGATTTTATTTAACTATGTTTTTTACACATAAAAAATTTAGCAAATTTTTTTAAGAGTTGGTTGCAAACATGAACATATAAAAGTACCATTTTCATTTACTTAGGTATCTTCAACAAAAACTTGTACTGATAAGTTTTTTCTACACGTACATGAGTAAGTGGGAATTTTTTTCAAATACATCATATGTATCCACTTCAATACATATTTGAGTAAGTGGAATTTTTTTTAATACATTAAGATGTATCCACTTCCTAAATATTTTTTTTAAATAGAAAAGTTATTTTTCATTTATACTCTTATTTTTTTTTTTTTGTTAAATTCCAAAAACTTTCCTTATTAAGTAAATATGTATCTACATTTGATGTACCCAAAATTTTCTCGAGTAAGTGACCAACTGTGTACTACTTTGCAAATATAAATAAAATTTTAAGGAGTGAATTTGCTAAGTTTTAAGTTATAGGTTTTCTGTTTGCCATTAACAAGGAGCTTTATTAATCTTATATTATATGAATAGTTTCTCTCTATATCATATGACAAGGCCCACTCACATATAAAAAAATGAGCAATTAATGAATTTGTAGGAAAGAGAACTACTTTCTAATAATATAAGAGTATTTTTTTTTCCATTAACTATATATATAAATAGAATAAAGAATTTAAGAGGATAGAAGATTATTGATGTGAAGGTTGATTTTATAATTACACTCACCCTATAAAAAAAATACCATTAATAAAAAGCAAAATCAATTTAATTTTTGAGTTAACGATGTTAATTTCTACCTAATAAGTGGAGCATTAATATCAGGTGGATAGATTATATTTATTGAAAATCTTTTTTTATTATAATAATTATAATGATGAGATATGTAAAATCTTACTGAAGAAGATATTGAAAAGAAAGGGGAGAGAGAGAGAGAGAGAGAGGGGGTAAGAGTGTAAATAGAGAAAGGAGGTGGAAAAAGAGGGAGGTGGGAAAAGACACATGTATCCCAAGCGATGCGCATAAACCATTCATTAAGTGGCTGTCCGTTCTCGTGGCTTATGCCTTCTTTCCTCACAACACTGTCTTCTCCTCTTTTCTCTGTTAAAACAAATTTCCTCATTCAATCTCTCTTATTAAAATCCCTAATCTTCACAACACACCAACACAAAGAAACCCTTATTGAATCGATTCGAATCGAATTGAATTGAATTGAATTCGAATCCCAATAACAACAGAAACAAAAATGGCTCTGAGAATTAACCCACTCTCCACCCAAACATCCTCCTTAGGCCTTCCACACATGGCAAGCTTCAGATCTCCCAAGTTCTTCATGGCATCCACCCTCAGTTCCGGTTCCAAGTCAGATCCCTACTCACGCTTCTTCTTTTTTCCTTTTTTAGGTTTCTTACTTTTTTTACAAGAAAAAAATAATATATATACATACATATAATCGCACATTCTCTCGTGCTTTCAATTCGATTGTCACATTGGATTACTACTATAGCTGCTTCTTCTTACTTCTTTCTTTTTTATTTTCATTTTTTTTTTTTTTTTTTTGTGTGTGTGTAACGCCTGAAGTGAAAGCTGAAAAAACTGAAAATGACGCACAATTGTTCATTTCTGTGTTGAAACTTGAAATTGACATTTTTTTTGTTCTCTTTGGTCTTTTCTTTTTTTTCTTTCCTTCAACCTCTCTGTCTGTTATTTCTCTGTGGAAAATGTTAACCAGAGAAGATATTCAATTAATTTTTGGCCCATCTACAAGTTCGGTTTGGTAATCAAGATGGTTGGGGTGGTTCGATTGCATTCAAGTTCCTTGGTTTTCCTTTTCTTTTCTTTTTTTTTTCTTTTCTTTTTATCTTAATTTTTGGCTTGCATGTGTTTTCTTTTGGTTTGTTATTTGGTTAAGAAAACTATTTAATCATATTAAAATACCATTCCCAACAACTTTCATTTCTCTCTTTCACACCGTCATTTTTACACGTCTTTGTTCAATCTTCCTTGTTTGTCTGGTGAAAAATATCTTGGTTAAACAGTTTGTTTTGTTTCATAATATCTATTGTGCTGTTTACGATTCCAGCTATTAAAGAAAAATGCATATGTGTCATTCATATATTTAACAATTTTACACTCCTTTTTCCCACTCCCTTCCAATATTCTTAACAATTCCACCTAACTTTTGGTCCCATTGTGAAGAATTTGTCAGTTTTTTTCTTGATTATTTGGTATTGACACGTATTCCTTAGGTGGCTTCAATCTTCATTCATTGTTGAAATTCTTTTCTTCTTCAACTTGATTACACGTATAATCAACTATCTATATGGAAACTTGCTGTGTCTTTGTTTCCTTCTAATTGATTTGATATGTGTAGTCTCTGCATCTTAGTTTGTTAACTTAGGACCCGTTTGTTTGTGTGTCCGTGTGTGTGTGTTAATAAAGAAAAAAGTGATTTTAACTAAAAAACATGTTTAATTTTTATAATGATCTTTATAGAACCAATTTGCCCTTAATTAGATGAGTTTTTTCAAAACAAACTTGGCACAACAGGGCCACTCTGAGCTTATAGGTTCGATTCATGTATGCTCTACCAAATGTAAGATATGACTGTATTCTATAGACCCACACATTGGGTCTGACCCTTCCCTGGATCCTGCCTGGGAGTTTTGTAGCACTAAGGTGAACTTCGATTAGATAAATTTAAAAAAATAAAAATAAAAAAATCAGTGTTAACGCTTTTCTCATAAGCTATAAAGAGTAGCTTAAGTAAAAAAAGCTATATCAGTGTTAATGCTGCCAACTTGTTATTTTATTATGATTTTCTTGTTGGAGGTGAACATAATACACAAACGTTCTGTATACCTGTCCTTTTTCTGCTTTTGTTTGGTATTTGTCTTGATATATTAGTTATATCAGTATATGAGATGTTTTATAATTTTGTTGCTATGAATTATACGATTTAAACAGTAGATGAATTTTACCAGCACAAGATCATTCCAAAATTGCTGTATCAATGCTCTAAAGCTGTTTGAATTTCTTTTGTAGAGAGGTTGAAAATCTTAAGAAGCCTTGCACACCTCCCAGAGAAGTGCATGTTCAAGTAACCCACTCTATGCCACCCCAGAAGATTGAAATTTTCAAATCTTTGGAGGATTGGGCTGAGGAGAACATCTTGGTTCACCTTAAACCTGTAGAAAAATGTTGGCAACCACAGGATTTTCTACCAGATCCTTCCTCAGATGGATTTGAAGAGCAAGTGAAGGAACTGAGAGAGAGGGCGAAGGAGATTCCAGATGATTACTTTGTTGTCCTGGTTGGAGACATGATCACAGAAGAGGCTCTTCCTACATACCAGACAATGCTTAATACTTTGGATGGAGTTCGTGATGAAACAGGTGCCAGCCTTACTTCATGGGCAGTTTGGACTAGGGCATGGACTGCTGAAGAAAATAGACATGGTGATCTTCTTAACAAGTATCTTTACTTGTCTGGGCGTGTTGATATGAAACAAATTGAGAAAACAATTCAGTATTTGATCGGGTCTGGAATGGTAAGATCCTATATATATATATCTATTGGTTATCTTGATCTTCAGATATTAAGTATCATAATGAATCACACAATCATGCAATGTCAAAGAAACTTTTTACATCTTTAGATATTCATATTACAATCAATATAATCCAGAGACAGAGACCCATTTACTGCATTTTTTTTTTGGGAGGGGGGGGGTGATGAAAAGTACCTAAAATGTAAAATTCTATGTACTCAATGCATCCAAATGCATTAATGTGTCACTGTTAGCAAAAATCTTATACAAATGGATGTCTTTAAACTATTGAAGGATATTCTCAAAATGAATGACTAGAATAAGATCCAACTTTCCTAAAATTCATTATAGGACCCAGATTATTATGTTGATCAAAGGTCATCACACTAACTGATTTTTCATAGCTGCTGCACTTGTCACATTTCTTGGGTTTTTTTTTTTTTTTTTTGACTAATATAAATTGATGGCTAGGATCCTCGGACTGAGAACAGCCCCTACCTTGGATTCATTTACACTTCATTCCAAGAAAGGGCTACCTTTATATCCCATGGAAACACGGCCAGACTTGCTAAGGAGCATGGTGATATAAAGTTGGCTCAGATCTGTGGTATGATTGCCTCTGATGAGAAACGCCATGAGACTGCCTACACAAAGATAGTGGAAAAGCTGTTTGAAGTTGATCCTGATGGAACAATAATGGCGTTTGCTGACATGATGAGGAAGAAAATTGCTATGCCAGCACACCTGATGTATGATGGCCGAGACGACAACCTGTTTGAGAACTATTCTTCCGTTGCCCAGCGCATTGGAGTTTACACTGCCAAGGACTATGCTGATATACTTGAGTTTCTGGTTGGGAGGTGGAAGGTGGAGAATCTAACTGGACTCTCAGGTGAGGGACGAAAGGCTCAGGATTATGTTTCTGGGCTGCCATCAAGAATCAGAAGGCTGGAGGAGAGAGCTCAAGGAAGAGTCAAGGAATCATCAAGACTTCAATTCAGTTGGATTCATGACAGGGAAGTACTACTCTGAACACACCAAGGAGCATCATCAATCCTCCAGAAACCCTTTTCTCGGATATATGCTGAATTGTTGAAAATTCAGTTTGTCATTTGGATTTTTTTTTATTTTTTTTTAATCCCATGTTATATGTCACTGTAAGGTGAAACTGTTGTTCGTACGTGTTTCACTAGTTAAGATTAAGCACATAGGGCAGCTGTGTATTAGAAATGCTTTTTTTTGTGTTTCCCTTTTCTTTGTGTTAGTGATCTCTGTCTTAAGTATAAACAAACGTTTTTCTCTGCCAATTTTGATGATAAAGAAAATTTAGTTCTTCGGTGGTTTGTTCTAGTGTGGAAAAAGTCGAAGGCAGTGTAATTGAAATACTCAAGATGGTGCGAGTGCCTTGCTGCCATATGATTACATGCAATTTTGTTGGTAGATGCTCTGCTCAAATATTAGTATCTGCTTAATTTTAGCGAAAGATGTGAAGCTGCATCACAAATTCGAAGTTAAAAGCACGCAAAAAGTAATAATAATCGATATTTGTATTTCATGTTCAAAATCTGTGCGAGTCTGGTTTAAATACTATGCAAGTCTTTATAATTTTGCTTAAATTTTTAAATAATTTTATAGTTTAAAATATTTTAAAGGTGTCTATATATTTTTAATTTTATTTTTTGGTGATCATATTTTTAAATTTCTTAATTGGTCTTTACTAGACATTTTTTTGTTCTGTTATAGGTTTTTCAAATGAAATAAGATAATTTTAAAGGGATTTGATTCTCTCATCTTGCATGATAATTGAATTCTCATATGTGACTCAATTAGTGGTGAACTCCACGTTTATTAAAAAGAGAAAAAAGAAAAGAAAAATGTTACAGGCAAATTGAAGAGTCACAGCATGAGAATTGAATTCTCATGCAACATGATAAAATGTTTTTCCAATTTTAAATTGGTGTAAGTGATGTCGTTGATCTTATTTACATCTAACGGTTCTGATTTATTAAATATTTAGATGCAAGCAAATTAATAATTAAGATTTAGTGTAAGACTTCTTATTCAATATAAGAATATCCTGATCATTTTTAAATTGTTATAAAATTTTAAAATGAGGAGAAATCTGTTGACTTCGATGTAAAATTAAGAAGTCTTACTTCCTATTTCACTCGTTGATTTCTATCTATTGAACGTTTATAATTAATAATTAATTAATAGGTATAACTTAATAAAGATGAACAAAATCAACAGGTGAGATGAGAAGTAAAATTATTTTTTAGTGTTTATTTGGAAAATCTTATTTTTAATTTCTCTTCTCCTTATAAGCAAAAATTTAGCCAAACATACTTTTACAAAAGCTCTTCTTATAAAAAGAGCTTTTTGTTATAATAATAATAAAAAAGCTAAAAGCTCCTCGGAGGAGATTTTTGTAAATATATATACTAGCATTTTAGAGTTCTATATATTTTTTCAGTTTTACCTTTATTCTCAATTTGTATTTACTAATTTTATTCTTTACCCTAATAATGCATCTTAATAATAAATTATTTCATCTCCCTCATTCAAAACCTCATAATAATTTTATATAATCATCATATAATTTTTAGCTTTACTTTTTAACTTTTTTTTATCGTAAGTTTAAAAATAACTTTTAGCTTAAAAAAAACATGTTTTGGCTCTTAGTCTTCCCTCCTCTTTTATCAATAGTAAAAATCTAACTCAAAAATTTGTTAAATTACAAGAATGTATTTAAGAATTTTAAAAGTTTAAAAACCCTCTTTTAAGTATTTGAACCTACTTAAAAATGCAAAAAAACTTAAGCAAACTGGAATAATTTAGCCTAAGACTGAACTTATATGTCACGAATTTTTTTTACACAAACTAGGTTGTATTAGTCGTTTTTCTATTGTTGTCAACTAAGATATGACTGTTAAGAAAAGAAATAAGAAAGGCTCTAGGCTTTAGAAGCACGGGATGACATTGGGAAATATCTGGGAGTGCCAAATCTGCATAATAATAGGGTAAGTAGTGAATACCAAAAAAAAAATAAAAAAAAATAGGGTAATTAGTAAGTAGGAACACACCTTCAGAGGAATTACTGAGAAGGCTTCTGAACTGTTTGCCTTAGTTCTTTGAAAACTACCTTGCTGTCCTTTACGTATTGGTTAACATTGGTCGATGAGAAATTTTATGAATCATAGGGAAATGTGATTAGTAGGGAAATTGTTGAAAATTGAGTTTGGTAGAAAAATATAAAAAAAGTAGTTTGGTAGGAAAAAAATTTACCGGAAAAATTAGGTAATTTTTGTAAAGTCTATGTTTGGCTTTTGGTAAAATATAGATGGGAAAAAAAATGTATTTTTACGAAAATAACCTTGTTTTAAAAATTGCCCCCTAAGCCTTGCTACCCTTTACTGCTAAAAATAAAAAAAGTTAATAGTAATTGTCAATCCAACCTTGTACAGTTTTTGTGGATGCAGAAGCTTGAACCATGGCTAATCAGCAGCATTAAAGTAGCAGGCAGTTTAAGTCTCTTATCAGTCCTGGCTAAAAGGTTTACCTGTTATTGAAAATTATAATGCAGTTGTTGATGTTGAGAAACTGAAGGCTCCTTCTATCCCCAAAAAAAGACTTGTTTTGTTGATTGGAGTATTCTCTACTGGAAATAATCGAATGGCCCTGAGGAGGTCTTGGATGCAATATGAGGCTGTACGTTCTAGAGAAGTTGTTGTCCGATTTTTCATTAAAGTTAATCATACATTAAATAGAGGATACGGTGGTCTTTTGTTTAGTTGACAATGTGAGCAAATAGCTACATAAATGACAATACCACATGTGAGAAGAGAATTTTTGGCTGGGTATATCACTACAAATAGATATGCAAATTGCTTTGGTAGCATTTTGATTTAGGTAGGTAAATGAAGAATCTCCTTCAACCAAACATGGTCACCACCAAATTCCACTTCTAATTTTCCTATCAATCTACTCAAAATCCTTCAACCAAACACACCCTAGGCTGTTTGATTGTTTTAGAAATCCTCAAAAAATGGGATGGGGTAATTTTTTTTCCATATGGTACGAGGAAACTGAAAATATTTTCGAGAAATTTTTTTCCCCATCATTTTAATTTTAAATACAGAATCTCAAACGAAAATGCCATCTGATATTTTTATTTTCTCAGGGAATTAGGGGGTGTATTGGATTAGGATTTTAAAAGACTTTTTTGAGATAAAAAATCCTACAGATTTTAAAAGACATTTTCGAATTGGAGAGACTCTATAGACTTTTTTAGAAGACTTTTTTTACAATCAAAATTTCATAGGATTGTATTTTAAAGGATTTTAATAGAATTCATAAGATTTGAAAGGACAATATGGATTTATAAGATTTTAAAAAACTATATGAATTTTTAGCAAATATTCAAAACTACAAGAGTCAATAAAAACAAATAATAAAGAAATGTAATGATATTAATAAAAAAAAGAGTAAACTTAACAACGGGTTGAAAATTATCTCAAAAATTACTAAGCAACAACTCTCCATATATCAATAAAATCTAATATAATTTTCTCAATGAGTTTGAGTTTGAGTTTGATTTGCGAAAAATAATAACCATATATCAACGGTTAAATTCCAAGTTAAATATTAATTAATGAGTTTGATTTGTGAAAATAATAACCATTGATTGACGGAAGAAATCAACGGTTAAAATATGGTTGTAAACAAAAATAGGTTGTAAGTATAATATACCCCATAAAAAAATAACAAAGAAATGCAATGAAATTAATAAAAAAAAGTAAAACCTAATATAATTTTCTCAATCAGTAAAACATAATACAATTTTTAACAAACATTCAAAATTACTAAACAACAACTTTTCACATATCTAGTGGGTTGAAAATTATCTTCTTCATTTGGTATCAAAGTTATGCATATATGATTATAAGACCCAAATTTTTTTTAATTATAAAAATAATTCTAAATTTGCATATAGAACCTAAAGTTCATGATAAAATTTCATTTGAAATTTTTTGCAATTGATCTTAAAAATTTTGGGGTTTCTGTTTTACATGATGAGAGTTTTCTAACCATGTATCATATGCATATTTTCATTGAATATTCTAAGAAAATTTTGAATATGAAATTTTGGGTTTAATTACATGAAAGTTTAGAAAATTTCTCAAAAAAAAAAATTCAGTCGTTACATTCAAACCTTAAATTGTTTTAGGGTTTTTGAGACACAAGTTTTTAGTTATCTATTGACAAAAATTGTTTGAAATTGTTTCCTATAGTGAAGAAATTTCGTTCATGAATGTATTGTTACGAAATACAGGGTTCATATTATGAAAGTTTCGATCTTTCTTTAAATTGATATTGCTTCATTGATGTAAAACGAAAATTGGTTTGAGGGTTTTAGTTTCCCTATTATTTTTCACTGTTTTATGTTGTTTTTAATACAAAAATCACACGTTTTTATGCCAAGAAAAACCACGACACATAGCTTGAAAAATCACTTTATAAACTTCCAAAATTTCTCAAAAATAGCTCAAAAATATGTTATTTTTTAGATAAATTATATTAAAATCTCGTTGGTTTGTTGTTTTTGGGTTGTTTTGTGATGAAAATTGCTAAAAAATATTTTTTTTTTTTAGTTTTGACGAAGCTCCCATGGCGGAACCCAATTTTGAGCAGTCAACCTGTCAAAGGAAGAAGAAAACACTGCAACAGAAGAATCTCAAGAAATTCTAGGGGTTGGGGTGAGATTGTGAGAGAGACATCCTATTTATATTTTTCACTAAAAAGTCTCACGAAATCCACACTAATTAAAAATCCATTAAAATCGTTGGATTTTTGAATACTACGAGATTGTGATTCAATTGTTTAAAATCCTGATTGAATACCAACGGATTTGGACGGATTTTAAAATAATCCTTTAAAATCCTAATCGAATACCACGTGAATTTTTTTCAATCCATTAAAATTCTAATCGAATACCAACGGATTTTTTTGTCCAAAAACAATCCATTAAAATCCCAATCCAATACACCCTCCTTAGTATAATTAACCCAACATTTTCGGAAAATTTTTGGACCTACCAAACATCTTTTCGTAACTTATCTGAAATTTTTTTTTTCTCACTATATTCCCGTAAATCTTTTTTTTCTCTATAAAAAAAATATCTCCTTTATCAAACACCCCCTTAATCAGTTATTGCAGCTTTGCCGTCTTGTACAATGCAAGCAACGCTCCTGCCACTTTGTACATGAGATGAGATTGATAAAAAAAAAAAAGTGCTGCCAAGGGGCTAGACACTCATCATGGGCATAGAACGTGGCTTTCATGATGGAATTGGGTTAGAAACCTATTCATGGGGG